ACAACAAAACTATCATACAAACGGGTAAGGAGGAAATGTGCAGGCATTTCAGGACAATTTCGAAATGGCGAGAAAGCAGGAACCATACATATAGTGTGTAGTCGCTGGGAAAAAAGTCCCTCTCTTCTACGTTGCTTGTTGTTGTTGCAAAGCGGAAGGATGTTGTGGCGTTATTTTTGTGATAATTTTGTGAATATCTAGGTTGTTTTGCGAGTTAATGTCCCCCCTTTTTCACTTGACTTTTGTCGTTTCTTCTATTATCATCCGTGTTCTTTATTTTTGTTGTTACTCTGATTAAGGTATATGACCCATTATAAATAATCTTTTTTGGTTTTTTGTTTGTTTGTTAATGTTGTCATCCATTCTTGTTGCTGCTGCATAACCAACAACTGTCCTTTTCGAAATGTGTCCTTTGGCTTTAACTCAGCTCATATATACACTCTTAAATATGATTCGTATGTTATCGTTTCATCTCTTCCTCTCTCTTTTAATCTGTTTTTATTTAATGTTTATTATCCTTTTACTTAGTACTTACATATATGTGAGTATGTGTGTGTGTAACTCGTTTGTCCCTTTTGCGGATTTCATATGTTCGACAATGCCCGACAAGACCAACAAGAAAACACCACATCACATGTTTGTTTCTGATGATTTGTTATATTAATTGTGTGATTGTAACTAATGCCACTTTGTTGCTGTTGTTGTTTTTTTTGCTTTTTGCTGTTTTAGGATTTTGCGTCCTTCGGTCAAAGCTGTAAAATAAACAACAACGTTTTATTAGAACACTTTTAACTCTTCATGATTGTAAATATTTATGTTTATTTTTTTCTCTGTTTTTCTCGGTCGAGCAGCTTTGCTGACATTTGTTGTCATCTTTCGTTGCCTTACGTCAGGGAAATTTATTTAAGTAATCCGGATATAAAGTAATTAAAGGATTTTATGGCTTATGACCGAGCTGCTTATATGTGTAATGTGGAAAATTTAATGTTAGGATTATTTGTATGGCTAAATTATGTACAATGACAAGGTTTTCACGAAAACAATTTTTGAAAAAAAAAAAAAAAAATTACCAGAAGAGTCGCAAAATGGAAAAAAACGAAAATAGTTTTTTGAAATGGAATTTTGCTTAGAATTGTTCCAGAATGGTTTTAGGAATGGTAAATTGAAAATTCTGTGTAAAACAGCAAAAATTTATATTTTATTGCATGCCATTAGTTGCTGCGCTTATAACTAAAGAACGGCCGGAAAATTCACCCCAATTCGGAATGGTTTATTGGCAGAAAAGAATAAAATCTAAAGAAAACGAATAAAAATAGGCCATCAAAAATTTGAAATTTTTTTTTTTGAAATTTTGTTATATTGCCTGACATTTTTTAATTTGCTATTTTTATATTTTTAATATTTTATATTTAATATACGGGGTGAGATGAATAAACGGCAACCAACTTCAGACTGCTGTCATTTCCGAGCCACTCGTGCGACAGCTGTTAAAATTATTCCAGTGACAGCTCATTTTTTCCAAAAAAAAAAAAGTGATTCGTGATGGAATCCAAGCATGATAGTGTGATTTCTTTATATTTGGCTGGAAAACCACAAGTGGCTATCGTTAGAGCACTTCAGCATTTAAATGTGAATAAATCTTTTGTGTCATGTACCATCGCTCGTTACCGTGATACTGGTAGCGCAGCCCGACGTCATGGAAGTGAATGACAGAAAACAGCAACATCAGCAGAAATGGTTCGAAAAGTAAAGAAGCGACTTGATTGAAAACCGTGTCGCAGTGGCTGAAAAATGGCAATATTCCATTCGCCAAATATTGAAAAATGAGCTCAGGGTAAAGCCATTGAAACTCCAAAAAGTGCGAGAACTTACACCGCAACTGAAAGAAAATAGACTCAAAAGAGCTAAAAAATTGCTTCGCTTGGCCGATAGTGGTGAACTGCCAAATTTGATTTTCTCCGATGAAAAAACATTCGTTGTCTAGCAGTTTGTAAACAAACAAAATGATCGTGTTTACTTGCCAAAGAGGTCAGCTGAAAATGTGCACCTTCGGCTGGCCACCAGAACCCAAGCGCCGGCCATGTTGCTGGTTTGGGCCGCCATAACTGCCGGTCCGCTCATATTAATCGACCGTGGCATCAGAATAATTGCCGAATATTATCACGAAAATATTCTGGAGGGAGTCTTAAAGCCTTGAGCACGCAAACATTTTGGCCGCAGACCTTGGACATTCCAACAGCCAATGGCCACTTAAATCTCCGGATACAAATCCGTTGTACTATTGTGTCTGGAGCATTTTTGAAAGCAAGGTTGGCACTAAAAATACTAAAGTGTCGATCACCTCAGGCAAGCGCTTCCCCGGGAATGGGCCAAAATAGCGCAAAACAACATTCGGGCAGTGTGTGACGGTTTCATTGGCCGTTTGAAGGCCATAATTCGTGCCAAAGGTGACCAATTCGAACAAATCTAAATTTATTCCAAAAATTAATGATATTTCCGACATTTTTTTTCTTCATTCAACAAAGTGTAAAAAAAGTAAAAATTATGGCGTTTGACTTTGTTACAGTTTTTTATGTCACCCTGTATACTCTACAACACTACAATATGATGGAAGCCTCCGGTATGTCCAAAGATTTCCCTGCCCAGAGCTACCCTTAGGTTTTTGACGGGGGCATTTTCCCAATATTTACGCACTCTGTCGTGATAGTGGACAATTTAACACGAAAGTTGTGGTCCATTTTACAGATAAATATAATTTAATGATCATCCAAAATGCAAGTTTTCTTCCCTGTCTTTCACTTTCTTCTCATACGAAATTCCGCGCAGATTGGTTTTCAATTTTAATTTGGTCCATTTGAACCCTTAAATGTACATTTCCAAAAGCAATAGTCTTTAATTCTTACCCTAACCCTACCTTCATACAAAATTTCGTGATGATCGGACGATAATTGCGACCTGTATATAACACCCTCAACGCATAGTGTTGCGGGGTGTAGAAAAACGTTAGAGAAATTACTATTCAAAATTGTAAGTCAAATTAAAAAATCGCATGCGATAAAAAATATTACAAAAGATGAAAAGAAAATATATTCATTATACCCTACACCACAAGGTGGTCAGCGTATTATGTCTTTGTGTATTTGTTTGTAACAGGCAAAAGGAAACAAGATGGACCCATAGTTCCTTTTGATGATCTGCATAGAATCACATTTTGAGTCGATTTATGCATGTCCGTCCGTCTGTCTGTCCGTCTGTCCATGTATTTTTGTAAAAAAAGTACAGTTCGCATTTATTGCCCGATGCAGATGAAATTGCATTTTCACAAATCATTTGTTTGGCCCAAGGAAGAACCCTATTGAAATTGGAGATAATCGGTCAAAATTTAGATATAGCTCCCATATATATCTTCGTCCGATTTGCCTTTTATTGTGCACCAAACGTGTAATATCAGCCCGAATAGTATGGAATTTCGTACATACAATTAAATTAGGCCTGAAAATAAGTATTCCAAATTGATCGAAATCGGTTCAGATATAGCTATAGCTCCCATATATATTGTTCATCCGATTTGCTATTTTTGTCCTCCGCAGCCGTAATATGCACTCTGTAACAACAATATTTGGGGAAATTTATCAAATACAGCTCAGAAATACATTTGCTAAATTTTGCCGAGATCGGTTCAGATTAAGATATAGCTCTCATATATTACTTCGTCCGATTTACCTTTTATTGTGCATCAAACGTCTAATATTTGTCCAAATTGGATGGAATTTGGCACTTATGACCGAATTAAGTCTAAAAGCTAGTACGTTAAATTTGGTGAAGATCGGTTCATATAGCTATAGCTCCCATATATACTATTCATCCGATTTGTTATATTTGTTACCCACAGCCGTAATATGCACTCCGTAACAACGATATTCAGGGAAATATATCGAATACAGCTCAGAAATACCTTTGCCAAATTTTATCGAGATCGGTTCCGATTTGGATATAGCTCTCATATATATCTTTATCCGATTTCAAATTAATTTTGCACCAAATGGGCAATACAAGTCCGAATTTAAAAGATACAAATGCTTCGGCATATTTAGTCCTTTGAACTTTAAATTATAATTATAATCATAGCGTGTATGATTGAATTCTCCCATAAAAACTTTTATGAAAATTGTAAATTGTTATGCGGAGCTCCACTAAATTAGCAAAGTGGTGTAGGTTATCATACAGTCGGACCCGCCCGACTTTAAGACTTTCTTTACTTGTTTTTTTATTGTCATATTTTTAGGCGTTTTTTTTAGTTGTTATCATTTTCTGAATTTCATTTCCGAATTAATAAGAATTGTGAAAATCAATTCAGCCGTTCTGGACTTATAAGCAGAATAAGCAGCCCAGCCCTAAACTCTAACCCCATGCAAAATTCTGATTCGATTGGTTTATAATTGTGGCCTGAAGAGCAGCAGAAAAATCAGGATTATTTTCTGTTTTTGGTCCATTTCAACCCCTAAATATTTTGCGATCACTTCCAAAAACAATCTTCTATTCTATTTTTCTATTCTGACCCTAACCCAACCTAAGTTTTCCATTTCGTGAGGATTGGTCCATAATTGCCTACTGTAGCGTGATTAAAATTTAACAGGGACGGATGGGCATATATAGCTAACTCGATTCAGCTCGGCGAGATCGGTAGATCCATATATAGTTTCCTGTGTCGGAGGCCAAAATTTCGAGGTATTGCAATAAAGTGTGTGTTGTAATAAATTGTTATTTTAAAGATCTGTAGATGACCTGTAGCGTTTGACAAAATATATATACCTTATGGTGATATTCCATATGAAAGTAGAATTAACGATTCCGATCCCATTAGAGATCAAGAGCAGAATATCTACTTTAAGCTACAGTAAGAAATGAACTGCAATTGGCGCTAATTTAAAGAAAGTATTTGAAATAAATAAAATCCTTTTATAGTTAAAAATCATGGTAGTTTTTTTTTTTTTATTTTATTATTCGATTTCATCTTTTATTCTCACTTTACAAAATTTAATCCTTACAATTACTGAACCATAAAACCAACTGAGTTCCATAACAAAGACAATAAAACTAAAACTAAATGCCTTGATCAGACTAGTCACAACATAATAAAAATCTTCCATTTTAATGTAGGACGTAACTGCTTCCGATTTCGATAAATCTTCGAAACTGAATTTTCCGATTTTGACCAAGTCGTAGAAGTTATTCTTCAGCCAGAACGATATAAGACCCATATCCGACACTCTCGCAATTAGGATATCCAATTTCTGTTTGTATATGGAATTGCGGGGCAAAACAAAGGCCATTAGATCTAAACTCTTGAAACAGGCATCGGTTCGACGAAACATTGGCTGGGAAAATAGTTTTTGTCGTGTTGCATAGACATGCCAGACAGATGAGGTAACCGGATAGGCATAGGATCGATTAAAGGCGGTACGCATATCGGCAAATTCCGTGTATGATTCGATTACTTTGAATAATGAAAGATAGGGTATAAAGTGATCGCCGGATAGTTTCATTAGCGTGGTGTATTCGTTTTTAGCTGTTAGTATTGTAATTCTATATTTCAGCATATCTTCCAAACTGGTTATACTCTGGACAGTGGGACGTGTAAGAAAAGCATTCAGTTGCACGGAGAAGGCTGTCGTGTATAGGAGTCCTGAAACGAATAGGGCCACGTAAATGATGCGTAGCGATAAGCCTGGATATGCATTCAGCTTAAATGAGGAGCCCAAATGTGCCAAAATAACCTGGGGATTTATGAGAATATTTGATATTTCCACATCGAAGGTGTGATACTTCCTGTAGTACATCAGCTGTTGTGACAGGGTCAGTAAAGTGGTAAAAATCACATCCATGACAAATATGCCCACAAGCATTTGTAATGTCAGAAAACCTTTGAGAAAATCTTGATAGGTGAGCGGATCCTCTTCGGGTATCATGAGACACCAACTCAACACTTCATACGTGTATGACATACGGGACACAGTTTCACCACTCATAAGGGGCGTTATGCTGCACGGCAAGTCGAGTAGTTCCATTTGAGTCCAATTTACAAAATCTCGATAGAAAAGAGTATTCCCAGGTATCATATCGTCTGGAAATTTGAGTGTAGAATTGATATATCTGGCAAACATGCGTATAAATTGGGCAATATAGCCGGTGACTTGTAATTTCCCACACTCATCGGTGTAAACGACAGAACGTGGCATAACTTGATCGGGTATTGTTCGCAAAACCTTGCCATAAACATTGTCCATTTTGCTGGGCAAGAGATTTTCAAAATTCTCCAATTTTTGGATTTGAAGCTTAAATTCTGGAAATACTTTAAATGTATACAACATTTGTGTCATTGCAAAATCCTGCAACAATACAAGAACATTCAACATTTTGTAAAAGATAAATTGGCGGAAAAGTAATTCAATGTCATTTTGTTCCACATTTCCTCTGTGCTGTTCCAGGATGACAATTACAGGATTATTTCTTCGCAAATCCAATTTATTTGCCAGGCTTTCGGTGAACTCACTTATTTCCATGGTCATTGGCAGAACAGCAATTGTTATAAATTTGGAATTCATAGAGTCCATGTTAAAGTCTTCATCGAAATCCTCGTTGATAAGTACACTTTTATCCAATTGCAGCTCCAATAGAATTTCCAAAAAATCCTTTTTCATTTCACCCACAACTAAGGCTATTTCGAAATTTTCCTCTTGATCGATTTGCCTTAGTAGCTTTAGCCATAATTCCTGTTCCGCTTGGGCCAGTGCCACATTGTGTTGTAAAATTTCATATAGTTGCATTGTGGAAACATTTTGTAAAGTTAAAATAATTATGAAAATCACATTTTTCCGTTTCTCGTGGTAGCCCATGCTGATGGTGAGGTAATTGTTTTTTAACTGTTTTGGGTAAATAAACGTGCTATCCGTTTGGAAACCTGTGGCTCCATAGTTTGTTTTCTGTCATCTTTGTCTCTGCTGCACTTTTGACCGAGCTACCGACCGACAGACCGTCAAATGGATAGGCAGGCTTTATTTCATGCATGTTTTCATGTCATTATTTTAACACATTGAAAGAAATTTTCTATTATCCACAAAACACCCTACAGTATTCCTGAGAGACTTTCTATTATTTTCAGTTTAATTTATATAATAATTGAAAAATAATTCTTACGATAATCTCTGGAGTAAATTATTTGGAAAGAATAATCGTTACATGTCATAATATATATTATTAAATATAAGTATTATAATAATTTGAATTAGATATTAACATAGATGCGGTGAGTTCGAAGGATTTTTGGCCAAGCTTTAGATTTTGCCACTTGAGGGTCTATTCAGAAGCAGTTCATATATAGGGCATTAGGTCTTTGCGCATTTGTTTGTAACATGCAAAAGGAAACAAGATGTACCCCTAATATCTGCCGATGATCTTCATAGAATTATATTTTAAATCGATTTATGCATGTCCTTCAGTTTTTTCTTCTATTCATACATTTTTTTAAGTAGAGGTCAATTTTTTATCAGATTGAAATGAAATTTGCCACATTTCGTTAGTACGACCCAAGGACGAACCCTTAGACAACATTTTATGTATATTCGTAAATCCATTGTATTTACATAAATCTGTTATATTTTTATATTTTGTGGAGCTCAGACATAATCCCCATTTCAATTATGGAGGTTTTGTCAGTTTTTTTGAGCATAATTCCCATAATAAAGTGGGGATTATGTCTGCTTCAAAATTGGACATAATCTCCAGGGGGATTTTGTCCGAAATATTCTCGGATTAGTATTTTTCGGAAATTAGCTGGGCTTCGATTTTTTTCCGGAACTACAAAAACATTTAGCACCACTTTGGAAAAGCAAGAGAGTAGGCTGTAATATAGTATGAAGATCTTAATGCCTCATAATGGGTCCATTTTTAGGGGGTTTTTAAATAATTCCCGTAAAAATACAAATTGTTCTGGTCTTGCGCCGAAACTGGTTTAAACAATCATACCAATCATATAATCTGGTTAAAAACACCTAACCCATAACTTTTTAAGTCCGCAATCATTTTGGACACGATTCTCATTATTATTGGTACTTACTGGGAACCTTGGCCGTTTTTTTTTCTTTTTTTTTGACGTAATCCCTATCCCATTATGGGTTAGAAGGCCATGAAAAAACTTGCATAATCTCAATAATTGTAATGTCGGCACAATATTTTGCAAGGTAAATGCAGAGGTGGATACTTTTAAAATTCAGAATGGGGCAACCTTGAATAAACTGTGCCATGGACCAACCCTAAGTTATACCATTTTTTCTGTATTTTTTCAGACTGTACATTTTGTAATATTTTTTCATTTTACAATACAGGTTGGGGTTATAACATACATATTGCAATTATTCTCACAAAAAGGGTAGGGTTAGGCTCAGAATGGATCGGCCTATTTTTTTCAAAGATGTCCGCAATATATTAAGGGGTTGAAATGGACCAACAACTAAAAATGTTCCTGATTTTGCAGCCGTTATAAAGTTAACAAATTGAATCCAAAGGAAATCTCGCATGAAACTCGAGTTTAGGACAGCGGGTAGAATGGACCACTACTTTTGTGTGTAAAAATACCAACATTACTTACAGACGATATCCGAAATAAACAAAAGGTGAAAGGTGGTTTTTATACCCTACACCACAAGGTGGTCAGGGTATTATGTCTTTGTGCATTTGTTTGTAACAGGCAACAGGAAACGAGATAGACCCATAGTTCCTTTTGATGATCTGCATAGAATCACTTTCTGAGTTGATTTATGCATGTCAGTCCGTTTGTCCGTCCGTATTCTTGTGAACAAAATGCAGGTCGCATTTATTATCCGATTGAGATGAAATTTTGCAAAAAACATTTGTTTGGCCCAAGGACGAACCCTATTGAAATCGGAGATAATCGGTAAAAATTTAGATATAGCTCCCATATATATCTTCGTCCGATTTGCCTTTTATTGTGCACGAAACGTGTAATATCGGCCCGAATAGTATGAAATTTTGCACATACAACCAAATTAGGCCTGAAAATAAGTATGCCAAATTTGATCGAAATCGGTTCAGATATAGCTATAGCTCCCATATATATTGTTCATCCGATTTGTTATTTTTGTCCTCCGCAGCCGTAATATGCACTCTGTAACAACAATATTTGGGGAAATATATCAAATGCAGCTCAGAAATACCTTTGCAAAATTTTATCGAGATCGGTTCAGATTTGGATATAGCTCCCATATATAACTTCGTCCGATTTACCTTTTATTGTGCACCAAACGTCTAATATTTGCCCAAATGGGATGGAATTTGGCACATACGACCGAATTTAGTCTAGAAGGTAGTATGTCAAATTTGATGAAGATCGGTTCAGATATAGCTATAGCTCCCATATATATTGTTCATCCGATTTGTTGTATTTGTTACCTACAGCCGTAATATGCACTCCGTAACAACGATATTCAGGGAAATATATCAGATACAGCTCAGAAATATCTTTGCCAAATTTTACCGAGATCGGTTCAGATTTGGATATAGTTCCCATATATATCTTTATCTGATTTCAAATTAATTTTGCACCAAATGGGCAATACAAGTCCGAATTTAAAAGATACAAATGCTTTGGCATATTTAGTCCTTTGAATTTTGAATTATAATTATAATCATAGCGTGTATGATTGAATTCCCCATAAAAACTTTTAATTATTAAGTGGAGCTCAACTAAATTAGCAAAGTGGTTTAGGGTATCATAAAATCGGCCCCGCCCGACTTTGCGACTTTCTTTACTGGTTTATGCTGATTTCGTTGATTTATAAAACCAAATATCGTAGACAAACAAATCATAAATTTGGTGATACAGGGGCCTCTTGAAGTTGATTGCAAATATTTAGGGGTTCAAGTGAACCAAAAACAGAAAAAAATTCCTGATCACACAATCAGCCAATCGACACGCCTGAGAAGAGAGTTAAGGCATTTTATATGGAAAATGGACCACAACAACTAACAGTATGACGGAGTGTTTAAATATTGGGCAAATGTCCTTGGTCAATGTCTCGTGACATAATTTCAAAAGCGAAATCTTCCAAAATCGATCTGCTTATAAGGGGGCTTCTTACATATTGTAGTGTTGTAGGGTATCACATGGCCGGCCCCGCACGACTATAGCCTTTGCTTCCTTTTTTTTTTTTTTTGATTTGAGGGTCCAGAACGAGGTGGCTGAAAATGTGAGTATGGAAACTTGAGTTAAAACTGGACCAAAACGAACAAAAAGGGTTACTCTACATGAGGGGAGTCCAGGAAGAAGTGATGAATTTAGTCGATTTTTTTTTCAAAAATGGTTTGATAAATATGTCACGATGTAGAAGTTTCGCTTCGAATGGGAAACTTTTAACAAGAAATGGAATGATAGTTACATCCCTATGCATAACATCTGTTCAAATAGAGAATTGTGTCAATCTAGATCATAGGTCAGTACACCAGTTCATAAACGTATGAGTTATTTCATAAATTGCTTATATTTTCCATCACTCATACGCAGAGTTATCATACAAACGACCGGAGTATACGGAACTAGATAAGAAACTAGGTCGCTCGATCCCAAAACTCTACTATTTCGAAATTTCCCTATATTTATCTCCTGAATCGTACTAGAGGAAATTCAAAATAATCCTTAATATTTCAACACCAGAATACTGGCTAATTTTCAACATTTCGATGTTCTGAATACTATCGATAGTTTACCAACAATATAGTAGATTGAACCAAAAATTTCCGAATTTCCCATCTTGGTGACCACTGAAGTTCTTTCAAAAAATCTCTCCTTATATAAACTTTGAAGCTCTAGTTCTAATCTCTCATTCCAAAGCAGTGTCACGAGTTGTGACTTTTTGTATTTGTTATACCATTAGAGAAGGAATCTTCCTCAATTTAATTCAATCACATCATAAGTGACCCTCATAACATTTATATATAACATGAGCCGAATATATCGCAATATTCCATTCGGCAAATACTACAAAATGAGCTCGGGGTAAAGCCATTGAAATTCCAAAAAGTACAAGAACTGACACCGCAACAGAAAGAAAATAGACTCAAAAGAGCTAAATATAGATGTTTCTCTTGGTCGAAAGTGGTGAACTGCCGAAATTGGGTTTCTCCGATGAGAAAACATTCGTTGTCCAGCAGTTTGTAAACTAACAAAATGATCGTGTTTACTTGCCAAAGAGGTCAGCTGAAAATGTGCACCTTCAGCTGGCCACCAGAACTGAAGCGCCGGCCGTGGTGATGGTATGGGCCGCCATAACAGCCGACTGTCGCTCTCCGCTCGTATTAATCGAACGTGGCATCAGAATAAATGCCAAATATTATCGCGAAAATATTCTGAAGGGTGTATTAAGGCCTTGGGTCACAAACATTTTGGTCGCAGACCTTGGACATTCCAACAGGACTCAGCACCATCGCACTCAGCACGCGCCACCCAAGAATGGTTACAAAATTAGGTTCCTCGCTTCATTTCCAGCTCACAATGGTCACCAAAATCTCCGGATACCAATCTGTTGTACTATTGTGTCTGGAGTAATTTGGAAAGCAAGGTTGGCACTAAAAATACTGTATAATTCAACCGCTCATTTATTCATATAAGGTTGAGTGATATCTTTCTGGAAATAATTGTATAATATGGGTTCCTATTAGACATAGAACCCTTAAAACAGTCCCTACAAACATAAAGTGCTTTAAAGGTTTAAGGAATTTCCAATCGAAATTGTGCTTAATCATTTCAGAATCTGAGGTAATATAAATTCGCTATTTGATATGGCACTTGTCCCGATTTCGGGCCGAATGTGCTGCAATTCAGCATTTTGGGTTCTTATCGCAAGCATATAAGCTTCATACCACACAGCTGTATTTGGTGGATTTAGCATTGCGATATAAAAATTGACAAAATGTAAAAAAAAAAATAAATTTTGATTTGCATATTCTTATGCCATTTTAGAAAAAAAGTAGGCGTGGCCAGCTCCTCCGATTTGGATTTCTTATATACATATATTGCCGATCTCCATAAAAAAGGAATCGGGGAAAGGCAAAATTTGGGGGTTATGGCGAGGAAAATTGGGTAAGGAACCACAGTGCGGCGAATACTTAAATTAATACTTAATTGAAAATTGATGCTTGGACTATTAAAGTACCCATATTATGGGGATTATATGAGGTTTTCAACTCATTAAGATTTTAAAAAATTAAATTACTATAGCGTTGACTGGAAAATGTTACCAGTTTCAAAATACCGAAAATTGGGTATTTGTCTTAAGGTGAGCAGCTAAATTTTTGATTTATTTAAATTTATTTTTATAAAAATTGAAAAAAAATATATATATTCAAAACACATTTAATCAGATAAAATTTCCTTCACTCGGTGACAAATTCCGCAGGGTATTGACAACAGTTTGCTTGTACCACAAATCCATGCATACGTGATTCAAAAGAATTATTTAAACGCGTGCGTGATATTTCCATACAAATGAACTGTACGGGATTTAAATGTTATCTCTGCATAAAATCTTTTTGAAAATCTGACCCGCCTCATCATTGGGACACTGACTTTGCAGGTAATGTTAATGACAATTTTTATTTTATTATTTAATAAACTTTGATATTTCGCAGCGAGTGTTTGAACAAACAGAACAAAGAAAATTACAGAATAAATTTCCTATGGAATTTCGGTGATGGTGCTAAGTTGCAAGAGCACAATATATAAATATAATAAATTGAATATACCTATGACATTTTAATTTGTGAGTATGAGAAAAAATCATTTATTACTTTAATAAAACATTGGTTAAAAGTTGAATATTAATTTTTGGAATTATTAATTAATACAAAACTAGTTAAAATGAAACCAAACTCAGCCAATCGTATTTCTGTTCCAAAAATTGACAATTGGCCAAAACCGCTTCTTTTCATCGTCCGAGAATTATTTAGCTCTTTAACTTAAAGTTTATAATGTTTCGTTCCAATTCGGAATACTCTCAATACAGAAAAGGATATAATCTAAAAAAATTGTATGAAAATATACCAGTGAAAACAGCCTTTTTTTTACAATTTGTTAAATACTTTTATTTTTGGTCATTATTTTAGCATCCAAAATGCAAGGCTTCTGTCCTGTCCTTAACTCAAACCCGATGCAAATTTGTGTGTGGATTGGTCTTTAATTGTGACCTGTAGAGCACCTGCAACATTAGGAAATTGTTCTGTTCTTTTTTTGTCAACTTAACCCTAATAACCTAAATATTTTGCGATCATCTTAAAAAACAATGGTCTTCTATTCCGATCTTAGCCTTAACTTCATATGAAATGCGAATCGGGTTATATTTGCCTTCTCGTAACGTGATTAGAAATTAACATGGACAGACGGTCGGCCAAATAGCTAGATTGACTTAGCTCGTCAAGATATCGTCAAGATCCACGAATAAAATATCGTGATACTCGTTAACGTGATACTGATAGCGTAGCCTGACGTCAAGGAAGTGGACGGAAAAAAATTTCAACATCAGCAGAAATGGTTCGAATAGTAAAGAAGCGACTTGATCAAAATCCTCATCGCAGTGGCCGAAAAATGGCTCGTGAGCTGAACATATCGCAATATTCCATTCAACAAATATTAAAAAATCAGCTCGGGGTGAAGCCATTGAAATTCCAAAGAGCGCCAGAACTTACACCGCAACAGAAAGAAAATAGACTCAAAAGAGCTAAAGAGTTGCTTCGCCTGGCTGAGAGTGGTAAAGTGCCGATTTTGGTTTTCTCCGATGAGAAAACATTGGTGGTCCAGCTATTTGTAAAAAACAATATGATCGTGTTTACTTGGTAAAGAAGTCAGCTGAAAATGTGCAACTTCGGTTGGCCATCAGAACTCAAGCGCTGGCCATGCTGATGGTGTGGGCCGCCATAGCAGCCGATGGTTGCACTCTGTTCGTGTAAATCGACAGTGACATCAGAATAAATGCCGAATATTATCGCGAAAATATTCTGGAGGGTGTATTTAAGCCTTGGGCACGCAAACATTATGGCTGCAGACCTTGAACATTCCAACAGGACTCAGCACCATCCCACTCAGCACACGTCACCCAAGAATGGCCACCAAAATCTCCAGATACCAATCCGTTGGACTATTGTGTCTGAAGTATTTTGGAAAGCAAGGTTGGCACTAACAAATACCAAAGTGTCCATCACCTCAAGCAAGCGCTTCGGCGGGAATGAACCAAAATAACGCAGAGCAACATTTGGGCAGCGTGTGACATTGGCCGTTTGAAGGCCATAATTCAAGCCAAAGTTGACTAATTCCAAAAAATCTAAACTTATTCTAAATTTGATGCTATTTCGGACATTTTTTGCTTTCATTCAATAAAATTAAAAAAAAAAAACAAGTAAATAGCTGTAAGTTTGGCCGAGCCAAACTTTGAATATCCTCCACCATTTGGAACGAATTTGGCAAGTCTCAAAAACAATAAAATTCGTTAAAAATGCTGTAAAAATCTTGAAAATACCGAGTGTGGCTGTTATATTAGGATTTCTACTACGACATGGACCTGTATAGGCAACTTTTGTCATTAGCTATTACAATATTCAAAACTTAAAAAAAAAAACGGTGAATAATGTAGCTAAAATCATATAAATACCAACTATCTGCATATACCGTTATATGGGGGCTATACGAAGACGTGGACCTGCACAGACAATTTTCTCTCTTAGGCTGTACTATCCATTTTGAACTCTATACCAAAACGTGGACCTACATGGCCCATTTTCAATACCAAAAGTCCTTCTGACATAGTATACATTAGAGTAAAATTTTTATCAATCTACTTCATTTAATTGGGAAGCTAGAGTGATTTCCACAGGCGGATAGACAGACGGACATCGCTAAATCGACATAGAATTTTATCCAGATCAAGAATATTTATACTTTGTGGAGTCTAAAATGTATATTTCGAGGTGTTACAAATGGAATGACAAACTTAATATACCCCCCATACTATGGTGGAGGGTATAAGAAATGTAAAAATTATGGCGCATGATTTTGTTGCAGTTTTTTATCTCACCCTGTATGTAATGCTCTTCCGTGGTGTAAAGTAATTAGAAGGAACTCCTTGCGAGAATTTTCAGACAATTCTATTGAAAAATATGGCTATGGCTATGAGGTCCACGATATCGTAACCTATATACACAATTCTTACAGGCAGTCAAGTACCTACAAAGAACTCCCTGTGTAAAATTTCAGACAATTCCATTGGAAAAGAAATATGTGCTTTGGGTCTAAAATAATTATTTCGATAAGTTACAAACGGAATGACGAACTTAATATACCCTCCATACTATGTATGGTGGAGGATATAAAAACTACAAATAAGTACCCTTTTTTGGAGTATAATAATAATAATACTGATTTAAGTTACTTTGTATAGATAAAATGCTCACTCATCATCATTACATTTTTTTAATCCTCTTCCTTCAAAAGCATTGCATATATTAAGGATAGAAAATCCGAAGTTCTAATCCACATTATAATATTTTCTTTTTTCGTAGAATTTTTAACACCGCACATACATATTTATTTATTACGAACATATAATTTAAAATTTAGGCAAGAATTACACAAATAGACACATTTTGAGATACTTAAAAAATTATCTAAATTATTTTTTGTCTGCCCTCTGAAGTCCCAATTCAATTTTACAATAGATTTTCGAACAAAGAATTTCAATTACAAGCAAAATAAATGCACAAATATAACACTCAATCATTATTTTGAAAATAAAATTAAATTCCTCTGGGCCCATTGTGCGATGTTCAATTTTCAATATCGGATTAGGTATATTTTTGATTATGCCAATCTTTTTCAGTTCAATATAGCTCAAGCGCAGCCAATATTCCGGAAGGCCCAATTCGGTGACGCGAATTATGAATTTATTCAGCGCCTGCATATAAACAGAATTCTGTGGCAGAACAAAGCCCAAAGTTCCCATATTGTTTAGACACAATCCACTCAAACGAAATAGGGGCTTTGGCAGCGAGCTTTGTTGGGAATTGTAGATGTACCATTGCGAATGATGTACTGGATAGGCATACGAAGTGTTGAATGATGAATGTAGCTCCCTATACTTGTAGTAGTCATCAAAAATTTCCAGTCCCGGAAGAAAATATTTGTAATTCAAGCTACGGCTATTTTTTATAAAATCCAAATCATTTTTGAAAATTACAATTTTTACATTATTTGCCTGTAGATCCTTGAAACTCTTCAGTGGTACGCTGAGAGGATGTGTTAGAAAAGATTGCAGAATTGCTGAAAATTGCACCGTGACCAGAAGTCCTCGTATAAAGAACACGGTGTATAACATCTTCAAACTTTTCGTAGAGTTCGGCTGCAGTTTAAAGGAACAACCAAATATACTTCTAAGTATTTTTGTATTCAGGATAATTTTGTCCAATGTTATTGCGTAATCTTGATTCCTCTTTAAATACATTAATTTTGTGGCCAGTTCTAGGATGAGAGACAACACCATCGTAAACAATAGGAAGCGTATGTAAAATGTTAAAGTTAATGAACGATATATAAACTCTTCATAGCTCTGCGGATTTTCCACAGGTACCATAATACACCAGGCCCTTACTTCGTAGGAATGCGACATGATTTTCGAACTGTTGGCATATAGAGCTGGCACCAATGCTGCGGGTATATCAAAACTATCAGTTTTAGCCATATCGAAAATGTTCTGATAGAACACAGGCTTATCGTCTTTAATATACATCGGCCACCACAAGGAACCATTAATCGACTTTGCAAATGTTTCCAAGAAACTCACCAAATAACCTTTGATTCGGGGCAGACCTTTTTGATCGCGATACACCACCGAACGTGGTATCATTTGATCGGGAAAAGTTCTTATTTTATGGCCATGCAAATTCAAGAATTTATTGGGAAAAATTTGAACCGTTTCAGCATCGTGGCTAAAGCTTTTCTTTACCATTTCCACATGAGGAAACATTTCAAAAGCGTAAAACAGCTTTGTTTCATAGTAATTTCCCAACAAAATAACCACGTTAATCATTTTGAATTTGGGACATGCCGCAAACATATGTCTCGCCACAATACCGGCATAAAGGTTCGATAACGATTCCGGAGCCAATAGAATAATTCGGTTTTGCCTTTTATACTCCAAGACCATCGATAAATACTTTCCATATTTCTCCTCATCTCCATAACGCCAAAATATGAAAACAAGAAAGTTTTTGTTTAACTTGATGCATGAATTGCAAAAGGAATGTGGAAATGAATAACTGAGAAGCGTTTTTCCCATATCTTTTTGCAAAACTTCAGCAACCAAAGTATCCTTAATGTTATCCTCGCGTCCCATGAGGACACAGCTGTCAAATCGACTTTCGCGATCCACTTTGTAAAAGAATTGCTTTAATTGGAACTTTATTTCATTGCTTTTCTGCAGTTCCTTCTGCAGATTTTCAGTGAGTTTATTGGGCGCTGCCGTTTGCAGCAATAATAGCAGCAATGCTAATATTTGCAAAAATGTTTGATTTTTCAATTCCATTGTCAAAGGTTGTCGATGAACTGAATTACATTTGTTGGTGGTCAAGAGATATTGTCTATACATCCAGCAGTCGCTTAATCGAAACCATTATGGTCTTAATGCTTTCCAATATAATTCCTTTTAACGTTCCATTTGTACAATTCGTTATTTGACATTTTTGCCTCTGAATTAATAGTGTATGTAGTTTAAAACACTAACACGTTTTTTAATGTAAATAGTTCACTTAAATTTAAGTCACTGCATGATTCTGTGATAAGTTTGCTATGTTAGTCGGTTGGTCTAAAGCAAACCTATATTTTTATACCCTACACCACAAGGTGGTCAGGGTATTATGTCTTTGTGCATTTGTTTGTAACAGGCAAAAGGAAACGATATAGACCCATAGTTCCTTTTGATGATCTGCATAGAATCACATTCTGAGTCGATTTATGCATGTCGTCCGTCCGTCTGTCCATGTATTTTTGTAAACAAAGTACAGTTCGCATTTATTGCCCTATCCAGATGAAATTTTGCACAAATCATTTGTTTGGCCCAAGGACGAACCCTATTGAAATTGGAGATAATCGGTGAAAATTTAGATATAGCTCCCATATATATCTTCGTCCGATTTGCCTTTTATTGTGCACAAAACGTGTAATATCAGTCCGAATAATATGGAATTTTGCACGTACGATTAGATTGGACCTGAAAATAAGTATGCCAAATTTGATCGAAATCGGTTCAGATATAGCTATAGCTCCTATATATATTGTTCATCCGATTTGTTATTTTTGTCCTCCGCAGCCGTAATATGCACTCTGTAACAACAATATTTGGGGAAATATATCAAATACATCTCAGAAATACATTTGCTAAATTTTATCGAGATCGGTTCAGATTTGGAAATAGCTCCCATATATAACTTCGTCCGATTTACCTTTTATTGTACACCAAACTTCTAATATTTGCCCAAATTGGATGAAATTTGTCACTTACGAATTGAGTCTAGAAGCTAGTATGTCAAATTTGGTGAAGATCGGTTCAGATTTAGCAATAGCTCCCATATATACTGTTCATCCGATTTGTCATATTTGTTACCCACAGCCGTAATATGCACTCCGTAACAACGATATTCAAGGAAATATATCAAATACAGCTCAGAAATACCTTTGCCAAATTTTATCGAGATCGGTTCCGATTTGGATATAGCTCCCATATATATTTTTACGATTTCAAATTAATTGTGCACCAAATGGGTAATACAAGTCCGAATTTAAAAGATACAAATGCTTCGGCATATTTAGCCCTTTGAACTTTAAATTATAATAATAATCATAGCGTGTATGATTGAATTTTTCCATAAAAACTTTTAATTGTTATGCGGAGCTCTACTAAATTAGCAAAGTGGTGTAGGGTATCATAAAGTCGGCCCCGACCGACTTTAAGACTTTCTTTACTGGTTTCTTTTCTGGTATCGAGCCGAGTCGACCCGACTTTAACAAATGTTACACTACTATGGATTTTAAAAATCATAAAAGGAATGGTACCTATGTATACGTAGATTTACTGCAATAAAATCTCAAACCGGAAACCATGAATAGTATATATCCGAACATATTGACATACATATTTCCAAGCTGTCTTGTACGAAATTTTGTTTTTATCTATGGTACAATAAAGAGGTAGAACAGCTTCATAAAAATACAGAAATACATTTCTGAGGCTATACCCGCTTCTTGTCAAAATTATTCAAAATTACATTTATTAAATTTGCCAGAAAAAAAAGTTGTTCGTGATGGAATTCAAGCGTGATATTATTATTTCTTTATATTTGGCTGGAACACATTTAAATTTCAATAAATCTTTTGTGTTTGGTACCATCGGTCGTTACCTTGATACTGGTAGCGTAGATCGACGTCAAGGAAGTGGACCGAAAAAAATAGCAACATCAGCAGAAATGGTTCGAAAGTAAAGAAGCGGCTTGATCGAAACCCGCGTCGCAGTGGCCGAAAAATGGAGCTGGACATATCGCAATATTCCATTCGGCATATATTGAAAAATGAGCTCGGGGTAAAGCCATTGAAATTCCAAAAAGTTCAAGGACTTACACCGCAACATAAAGCAAATAGACTCAAAAGAGCTAAAGAGTTGCTTCGCTTGGCCGAAAGTGGTGAACTGCCGAATTTGATTACCACCAGATGCCGATGGTCGCTTTCCGCTCGTAAAAATTGACCGTGGCATCAGAATAAATTCCGAATATTATCGCAAAAATATTCTAAGAAGAATGAATACAAAATGAGTTTCCTTGCTTCATTTCCAGCGCACAATGGCCACCAAAATCTCCGGATACCAATCAGTTGGACTATTGTGCCTGGAGTATTTTGGAAAGCAAAGTTGGTACTAAAAAATGCCAAACTGTCGGTCACCTTAAGCAAGCGCTTCGCCGGGAATAGGCCAAAATACCGCAGAGCAACATTCGGGCAGCGTGCGACTGTTTCATTGTCCACAAGGCCATAATTCGTGCCAAAGGTGACCAAATCGAAAAAAATCTAAACTTATTTTAAAATTTGATGCTATTTCCGATATTTTTGGTTTCATTGTCCCATTGAAGGCCATAATTCGTGCCAAAGGTGACCAAATCGAAAAAAATCTAAACTTATTCTAAAATTTGATGCTATTTCCGATATTTTTTGTTTTCTTTCAATATAATTTAAAAAAAATGTAAAAATGATGGCGTTTGACCTTGTTGCAGTTTTTTATGTCACCCTGTATATCAGAACATATTTCAAAATTTGACAGACTTCCTAAAACTACAAAAATACGGTTCTGAGGCTATGCCCACTTCGTGTCGGAATGTTTCAAAATGACATTTATTATATTATACTTATCAAACTTAGATCGAGCTCGGTGATGGGCAATATCAGTCTACTCCTTCACAGAACATAATTTAATAATAGAATAGGAAACGATCGCCCAATTTTGAACAAGCATAGCTAATCCCAATATTTTTATCTATGTAAGGTGAGGTACACAAATTGAGTACATCGGTATCTCCTCCACAGGAAACGGTCAAAAATGGTCAATATATTAAATATTCGTCTCTTTTATGCCTTATTTTTTATGTGAAATAAGTTTCTCATGGTCTTCAAATTTCCCACATCCCAATTCCTTCTGGCATCTCCCGCACAACCGGTTAAAATTTTGAATAACACGTACCCTCTTGATGCTCATAAAATGCGAAATGAACATCCGATTCTTTTTAAATGTGGAACATTCTAAAATTTCCACAAACACAAGGTCTAGTTTGGGCATGGTATGCATCCAACTACTCCTTCTGGTATCTCCTCACAAAGGGTCAAATTTTTCACACCAGAATTTGCATTATATGAGATTTGAAGAGAAGCGGGTGCCTATTTCGCATTTTTTGAGAAATATAATTATTCAAAATTTTGGGAAGGTGTGACACGATCCATTTCCACAACAGATCTACTATTAATAGAAATATTGTGATATTTCCAGTTTGGAAGGGATTGGATGCTCATGCGTTTTACTAGCTTCATGGCTATTCAAAATGTTGACCCGTTGTGGGGGAGGTACCAGAAGGAGAAGATCGATACACAACAGATCTTGTGTTGGTATATATATTGGAATGTGCTACATTTAAAGAAAATCTGACTCTTATTTCAAATTTTATAAGGGTTACAATTATTCGCAATTTTGACCCTATAAAACAATAAATACATAAAAAATTGACAGAAGTCGGGCACACTCAGAAAAAAAATTGTATTCAGCTGGTAGGTCTACCTTAACTTTTTATTGTACCATGTTTTTACCAGATCTTGCATATAATATAGGATGGGTACATACACTGGTGGCCAAAACTAAAGCAACTTAAATCGCAAAGACAATAAATGTCCTGTAACTTTTACAAAAATAAATATATCGTAATTATTTTGCCAGTTTTAAATGAGGGGTTTAATTCACTTTTAAGAAACTAAAAATAAAAATTCAAAAATAATTTTGAACGAAAAATAATATGTGGAAAACTAAAATGACTTAATTTTTGCTTGGTCAAAACTAAAGCAACTTTTGATTTTTTATTTTAAAATAATTAAATTTTGGCTAGTAGTCGATAGCATAAACATTATTTTTGATAGCAGCTGCACACCTACGAGACATTGAATCTATAACACGCTCAATTTGATCCTTGGGTGTGTTTTCCCAGGCACCCCGAATTCTTTAGAAAATATCGTGCTTATTTATTTCCGAATCCCTATTGATCTTCCTATCTACGATACTCCAAAGGTTTTCTAAGGAGTTTAGGTCAGGTCATTGTGCCGGCCATAACAAAACATGAATTTTTGACTCCCGCAACTAATATTTGACAAGTTTTGATACAAGTTTGGGATCATTGTCATGCTGAAACACCCAAATCAGCCGAATATTTTTTTTGTTACTACTGATCCAGTTTCAAAAAACCGACTTAGTATACAGAAATAATTATGAAATCACATAAATATTTATGAAATATTTCTCGGAAATCATTTGCTGATAATTTGCTATTTTATTCAGGTACTGTATTTGCATTTAGCCATTTTTAAAGTATTTTTGGGCAGTACTTAAAAAACGAACTGAAAAACACATACTGTTGTAAAAAACTTCTCAAAAAGGATTTATGACAAGCGAAATTGTTGAAGGAAGCAAAAAGCGATAAATATCACAGTAAAAACAACTAAAATTGCAGCGGTTATATGAATGTACAACAGAGTTGCTTTTGTTTTGTTCAAGCCAAAATCGGGTTAATTGACTTTACCAAACATTATTTTTTATATAAAAATGAATTTTGGTTTTATGTTTTAGGTTTTAAAAAAGTGAATAAAGTACCTAATTTAAAACAAGAAAAACTTTTTCATTTTCTTAATTTTTGAAAAGTTACAGGGCATTCATTCTCCTTGTAATTTCGGTTGCTTTAGTTTTGGCCACCAGTGTATATATGCAATCAATGGGTATATCTCAGCCTATTAGAACCAAACTCTTTATTGCTTTCGCCGGATATAAATGTACGTCGGCAAACTCTTTGTATTTTCTTTTTATTTGGTTTTTATTCAAACCTACTCACTCTGTGCCGCCTTTACGCATCACTTGGTATATTAAAATTGAGTCATCTTAGTTTTCATCACATCAACCCACCTTCATTAGCGAACAAAACCAATGTCGGACAGCGCCGATTTCTGTTATCCTACACCACTAAACATATTTAGAAGAACATAATTTTTACCGAATTTTTCATATACGCACGAAATACGAATGTGACAAATTCATCGTATTTCGGATGATATTATACATTTAGTGCATAATGAACTTGAAATCCGACGGGAATATATATGTAAGTTATATCCTAAAGCAATCTCAGAACCAATCTCAGCAGAATTTGGCCAATGTGTTTCAAGGCTGTATATAACATCTTGTGTGGAATATGTAGTAGTGCTTATTTCGGTAAGGCTGATTTACAATATTTAACTTGTTTTTTTTGTTTTCTTTTTTATTTGAATTTATTGATGATTTTTGGGCGTTATTAATTGATTTTAACGCATTTTAATTTTATAGAACTTGACATCGAACACATACATATGTATTATATTTTATAATTTTTTAAGCAACATTAAAACAGACATTTTTTTTAAGAAAATTTAAAACATAATTGTCTAAATCCGCAATATTAAGTTTACTTCTTGAGTCCACATTCAATTTTACAATAAATTTTCGAACAAACTATTTCAGCTATAAGCAAAATAAATGCAAAGATATAACATTTAAGCATAATTTCGAAAATGAAGTTGAATTCTTCAGGGCCCATTGTGCGATGTTCAATTTCCAGTATCGGATTGGGTATATTTTTGATTTTGCCAATCTTTTTCAGCTCAATGTAGCTCAAGCGCATCCAATATTCTGGAAGGCCCAACTCGTTAGCACGAATTATGAATTTATTCAGGGGCTGTAGATAAAGGGAGTTCTGTGGCAGAACAAAGCCCAAATTTCCCATATTGTTGAGACACATGCTACTCAAACGAAATAGGGGCTTTGGCAGTGAACTCTGTTGGGTGCGGTAGATGTACCACTGCGAATGGTGTACTGGATAGGCATACGAAGTGTTGAATGACGAATGCAGCTCCCTGTACTTGTAGTAGTCCTCAAAAATTTCCAGCCCCGGAAGAAATCGTTTGTAATTTAAGCTACGACTGTTCTTGATAAAATCCAAATCATTTTTAAAAATTACAATTTTCAAATTATTGGCCTGCAGATCCTTCAAGTTCTTAACTGGTACGATGAGAGGATGTGTTAGAAAAGATTGTAGAATTGCAGAAAATTGCACTGTGATCAGAAGTCCCCTTATGAATAGTATGGTGTATAATATCTTCAAACTTTTCGTAGAGTTCGGCTGCAGCTTAAAAGAACAACCAAATATACCTCTAAATATTTTGGTATTCAGAATAATTTTGTCCAGTGTTATTTCGTAATCCTGATTTAATTTCGAATACATTATCTTTGTCGAGAATTCCAAGATAAGAGACAACACCATCATGGACAATACGAAACGTAGAAAAAATAAGGGATTTAATGAACGATATATAAACTCTTTGTAGCTATGGGGTTTTTCCACGGGTACCATAATACACCAGGGCCTTTCCTCATACGAACGCGACATGATTTTTGAACTGTTGCCATAGAGAGCTGGTACCAATGCTGTGGGTATATCAAAGCGATCTGCTTTTGCCATATCGAAAATGTTTTGATAGAACACAGGTTTATCGTCCTGAAGATTTAAAGGCCACCACAGGGTACCATTGATGGATTTTGCAAACGTTTCCAAAAAACTCACCACATAACCTTTCATTTTAGGGAGACCATATTGGTCGCGATATACCACCGAACGTGGTATCATTTGGTCGGGGTAGGTTCTTATTCTGTGACCATGCAAGTTTGACATTTTATTCGGAAACACTTCGACCTCTGTCGCATCGTGACCAAAGCTTCTATTCACCAGTGTAAATTGTGGATACAATTCAAAGGCAAAGAAAGCCATTGTTTCATAGAAATTACCCAACAAAATAATAACGTTAAGCAAGTTATTTTGTACACATTTCTCAAACATATAACGCGAAACAATGTCAGCAAAAAGCGCAGATAAATGAACCGGAGCCAATAGTATAATTCGATTAGACCTTTTGTATTCCAGAAACTGTGACAATAGCCTGCTATATGTATCCTCGTCACCATAGCGCCAAAATATGAATAATATAAAATTTTGGTTGAGCTTAAGACATGAACTGCAGAACGTACGTGTAAATGTTTGAACTAGTAGAGTTTTTCCCATATCTTCCTGCAAAACTTCAGCAACCAAAGTATCCCTGATGTTATCCTCGCGTCCGAGCAGCAAACAACTATCAAATCGGCTCTCTTGATCCACTTTGTTAAATAGTCGTTTCAGTTGGTATTTAATTTCATCGTTTGTCTGTTGCTCCTTTTGCAAATCTTCAATAAATCCGTTGGGTGCTATGTTTTTGACAAATAATGACGAAAATGCCAGTATTTCAAGAATTAGTAGATTTTTAAAGTTCATTGTCAAACTCTGTCGATGAACTGCTAATAAAATTGGAAAAGTAATTTTATATGTGGGTAGCGAAGAATAATTCTTCTATAATGTTTTAATGGATACTATTATGGTTTTAATATTTTCCAATATATTTCCTTTTAACTTTGCATTTGTGGATTTCATCATTTTGTTATACACCATTTGATGGTAAGTTTATGTAGTTTGTCATTTTTATTGAATATTGAAAAAATAATGCGACATAGTATGACTCGAGTTTTTAGTGCCAAAAGATCCATTAGGGGCTTAATAGAAACTATAAAATCCCTAATGGATCATTTGGAATGCAAAGAGCCGTATTTGTGAACCCTCCCTTTTCTGTGCAATAAATCGGATACTTGTTGTATTAGTTACAAAATTACAATCTACTCATTTTGACAATGAATTCTAATTGTGAAAAGTCTTATTAAAACTAATAAAAATCTTAATTATTATTTACAATTTTGAGTATTTTTGGGAACTCTGGCGGAGGTTTGCCACTTAATCTAATAGTGTCATGAATATTTTCGCTGCTTAATGAAAATGTATTTTGAGAGTATTAATCAATTATGGGGTAGGTACTAGAATATGGGATCTATTATTTTCAATTTTACCGCCTGGAGTTATGGACATTTTTAAGTATGAATTAAAATATTTTAAATGGCTATAACTCCTTAAATATTCAATTTTAAAAAAATCGGATTTTAATATTAAAGTCCCAGTCCGCGTTGCCGGGCCGTAGTTTAAGTGTTAATGCATATTTTTAAAATCATAATAGCTCGCAGATCTTATTCGTAAAAGTGGCACAATCTTTATTATAAATAACTGTTCGACTAAATAAAAAAAATATAAAATCATAAAAAACCAGTAAAGAAAGTTTTAAAGACTGGCGGGCCTACTTTATGATACCCTACACCACTTTGCTAATTTAGTAGAGCTCCACATAACAAGTAAAAGTTTTTATGGGAGAATTCAATCATACACCCTATGATTATAATTATAATTTAAAATTTAAAGGACTAAATACGCCGAAGCATTTGTATCTTTTAAATTCGGACTTGTATTGCCCATTTGGTGAAAAATTAATTCTAAATCAGATAAAGATATATATGGGAGCTAAATCCAAATCTGAACCGATCTCGATAAAATTTGGCAAAGATATTTCTGAGCTGTATTTGATATATTTCCCTGAATATCGTTAATATCATATTTCCCTGAATATCGTTAATATCAATATGAATATAATATTACGGCTGCGGAGGACAAAAATAACAAATCGGATGAACAATATATATGGGAGCTACAGCTATATCTGAACCGATCTTCAAATATCTGAACCGATCTCCAAATTTTGCATACTACCTTCTAGACTCAATTCGGTCGTATGTGCCAAATTCCATCTCATTTGGGCAAATATTAGACGTTTGGTGCACAATAAAAGGTAAATCGGACGAAGTTATATATGGGAGCTATATCCAAATCTGAACCGATCTCGATAAAATTTAGCAATAGTATTTCTGAGCTGCATTTGATATATTTCCCCAAATATTGTTGTTACAGAGTGCATATTACGGCTGCGGAGGACAAAAATAACAAATCGGATGAACAATATATATGGGAGCTATAGCTATATCTGAACCGATTTCCATCAAATTTGGCATGGTTATTTTTAGGCCTAATTTGGTTGCATGTGCAAAATTCCATACTATTCGGGCTGATATTACACGTTTGGTGCACACAAAAAGCAAATCGGACGAAGATATATATGGGAGCTATATCTAAATTTTTACCGATTATCTCCTATTTCAATAGGGTTCGTCCTTGGGCCAAACAAATGACTTGTGCAAAATTTCATGTGGATAGGGCAGTAAATGCGAACTGTACTTTGTTTACAAAAATACATGGACAGACAGACGGACGGACGGACGGACGGACAGACGGACGGACGGACATGCATAAATCGACTCAGAATGTGATTCTATGCAGAACATCAAAAGGAACTATGGGTCTATCTCGTTTCCTTTTGCCTGTTACAAACAAATGCACAAAGACATAATACCCTGACCACCTTGTGGTGTAGGGTATAACAAGTACTCTGAATACCCTCCACCATTTGGAACGAGTTTGGAAATTTTCAAAACAAAATAAAATCCGTTAAAAATTCTGTTAAAATCTTAAAAATAACGACGACGACGTGGACCTGCATAGGCAACTTTTGTCATAACCAATTACAATATGCAAATGCGAAAGCAAACAAAATAAAGAAAAAATATTAAGTTCGGCCGGACCAAACTTTTAATACCCTCCACCTTAGGGTAAAGGAAACATTAGAACCCATTATGACCCACATATTCCAACTTTTAGAAAAATTCATTGGAAAATGTGCCAAAAACCAGCAAAATACCGAATATCGGGAAATACGGCTATACGGGTTATACAAAAACGTGGACCTATATATACAGTGTTTCGCCAAAGAGCTGGAACCCATTGTGACCAACAAATACCAATTTTTAGACAAATCCGTGAAAAAAATTGGAAAAATAATCAAAATACCGAATATCGGGAGGTACCTGAATATATACATTATGGGGTCTACGACGAATATTTAAGGACGTTACAAACGGAATGACAAAGTTAATATACCCTCCTTTCCAAGGTGGAGGGTATAAAAATCGTGAATAATTTAACTAAAATCATCAATATAGGGGGCTATATCACTACGAACTTCAAATATCAAAATTGAATAATGTTGCTAAAATCATCAAAACAACGAATATCGGGAGGTACCGTTATATGGGGGCTATACGAAGACGGGGACTTGCATAGACAATAATGTCGCTAAAAACATCAAAATACCGAACATCGGGAGGTACCGTTATATGGGTGCTATACCAAAACGTGGACCTACATGGCTTATTTTCAATACCAAAAGTCCATACATTTGAGTAAAATTTTATCAATATACTTCATTTCGTTCGGAAGCTAGAGTGATTTCCATAGACGGATAGACGAACGGACATCGCTAAATCGACATAGAATTTTATGTATATCACGAATATACACCAAACGGAATGACAAACTTAATGGAGGGTATAATAAACACCCATTGCAAAAATGTCAATACATTTTCACGTACCGGTCGATTTAAAGCGTTTTAAAAAACCTGGTCCTATTTCTCAGCCATATGCTTGAATTTAAGCGTTAAAAACCAATCTATTGAAAAATTATATATCAACTGTAAGAGCATTTAAGAGCTCAACTCAATTTTTAGTCCGATGAGCTGCAATTTGTAATTTGCAATATTTAGAAGATCGTGCTAAGTGGTATTTACTTTTGAGGGCAGAATGATTTCAGAATAGTCAAAGTTAATTTCTCTTTTACACCTATTACCATAACACAACAAATTGAGCGTTAGAGTGCCGATAAAGTCTATAATTTTGATCATAGTAAAATTCAATAACAAATACTCAATGTTCGTCTGTTTGTCCTTCAATCGCTCCAAATTACTATATATCGGTGGACCTGTAAAATACTGTTATATGGAGACTATACCAAAAAAAATGTTCTTATTTTCAGTAGATGATTCTCTACTCCCAATGAATGAAGATTTGTCTGAAAATTGGTATTTATGGGTCATAATGGGTCCTAGTTCGGGCAACGAAACATTGTATGTATAGGTCCACGCTTTGGTATAGCCTCCATATAACGGTATCTTCCGATATTCGGTATTTTGATGGTTTTTGTCACATTTTATCACGGATTTGTCTAAAAATTGGAATTTGTTGGTCATAATGAGTTCTATCCTCGTTGGCGAAATGTTGTATGTATAGGTCCACGCTTTTGTATTGCTCTATATAGCGGTACCTCCCGATATTCGGTATTTTGATGATTTTTGCCACATTTGCCCACGAATATGTCTAAAAATTGGTATTTGTGGGTCATAATTGGTTCTAGTGTTTCCATTACCCTAAGGTGGAGGGTATTAAAAGTTGTTGTTAATAAAAATCGACTATATGGGTCCACGTTTTGGTATAGCTCCCATTAAACTGTACCGACATATTTAAGGTTTTTGGGTGTTTTAGTCACAATTTTACCCCGAATTTGCTCTTAATTGGCAGTATGTGTTCCCATTATCTAAGAAATATCCTTGCATAGAACTTTCAATATAGGTCTATGTTTTTATGTTTTCCCCATACAACTGTACCTCCCTATATTCAGTATTTTTGATGGTTTTAGCAACATTATTCACACGAAATGTTTCACATTTCGTATTGAAAGTTCGTAATGGGTTATACAGCCTGAGTTCGAAAATTGCCAATGCTGGTTCACGCCTTCGGATAGACCCCATATATAATATTCGGTATTTCCGATGATTCACTGGAATTGTATTTCGTGTTTGAAAATCCTCTTGAGTATTTTATCCTATGAAAGAAAATTTGTATGTGCAGGTCCAGGTCTTCTTATAGCTCCCATATAATGTTTCATTGCTATATTCGCTATTTTTATACCATCCACCTTGGACAGAAGGGTATATTAACTTTGTCATTCCGTTTGTAACATCCTTAAATATTCGTCGTAGACCCCATAAATGGTACCTCTCGATATTCGGTATTTTGGTGATTTTTGACACATTTTTTCACGAATTTTGTATATCATAATGGGTCTCTCGTTTGTGTGGGAAGTCATTGAAATTATAGGTCTACGTTTTGGTATAGCACCCATATAATGGTACCTCCCGATATTCGGTAATTTTATGATTTTTTGCCACATTTTTTTCAGACAAAGAAAATTGGTATTTCTAGGTCATAATGGGTTCTAGCTCCTTTGGCGAAACCTTGCATGTGTAGGTCCAGGATTTGGTATAGCCCCCATATAACAGCACCTCCCGATATTCGGCATTTTAATGGTTTTTGCCACATTTCTTCTAATGTTTCCTTTACCCTAAGGTGGGGGGTATTAAAAGTTTGGCCCGGCCGAACTTAATGTTTTTT